TAGTCAGGACATCCTCGTTCATGATGATCACACTTGATTTTCAGACCTTCCCAATAATTCTTCAGAAATCCTGTTGGTCGTCTCAAGGTTTCTTGAGTCAGAGGATCTCTGCAAACTGGACATGTTTGAGAGTTTTGAACGAGATGTCGTGATATATGAGCGAAACAAAATATATGATCTTTGTGTTGGCAAAGTCTGGGATCCTTTGGAACTTCCTGACAAATGGAACAAAGCAGATCTTCGTTGACTTCTCCTTGAAAACGACCCACGTCATAACCTTGCAAATCATCTTCCCATCTCGCTGCCATGAATATGATCTTTGGCAAAATCTGGGATGTTTTAGTGCCTCTTAGGAAAAGAATAAAGTAAAACCATGTCTAACTCGACTTTAAAACAGACTAAATTGAATCATGCAAATTCTAGGACGTAGCGAAGTACTTATTGCTTCCTAAACATCTTATATCAATTCCTACGGCGTATTCTGAAACCTGCGGAGGTCTTAATCAAAACCCTTTTGAAATTTAAATCAATTTTAGGTCTTGATCAAAACGTGGTCAGGTTCTGGAGCGTGATCAAGTTCTGGAGCGTGATCAAGTTCTGGAGCGAGATCAAGTTCTGGAGCGTGATCAAGTTCTGGAGCGAGATCAAGTTCTGGAGCGTGAAAGTTCTGGAGCGTGATCAAGTTCTGGAGCGTGATCAAGTTCTGGAGCGTGATCAAGTTCTGGAGCGTGATCAAGTCCGGGAGCGTGATCAAGTTCTGGAGCGTGATCAAGTTCTGGAGCGTGATCAAGTTCTGGAGCGTGATCAAGTTCAAATTGAAATTCAATCATGCAATGGTTGATAATGATTACCTAACAAGTTATATGTCGCTAAAGACAGAATTATGTAACTAAAAACAGAATTTACCATGCAGAGACACTCGATCAATTTCCCTCCCTCTCGCATGATGGTTAATGAAAGCAATGTCTGTGAAATATTCGTAAAAACCAGTCAGGTAGGAATTTAACTCTTACACTTCCTGCTTCTGCTGTGTAATTGTTTGGTTATTTTGATGTTTCTATAATGAAGTCTAAAATTATTTACAAAATAGGGTTCTGTGTTATTGAGAAGAGAGCAGAATTTATATTTTTAAGACCTAACTGAGGTAGCAGTTGAGAAATATTGAGAAACTGTCGGTTCTTTCGCAGAAATCGAACCTACGTCCTGTACGACGGACTTCAAAGTATATAAATTCCCCCTCGATTTTCTATATGTAAGCTCATCGAAGACAGGAAACTCGTCTGATTTTTCCCGTCTAAACAGACGGGTAAGTTGGACGGGAATCCTGTCTGGACGAGAAACTCGTCTTAAATTCGCATTTAGACGGATAAATCAGACGAGTTTCTGAAATATCAACACGGTCAAGGACGGAACAAGGGTAAAGCCCGCCGCACAAGAGAGCTATCGGCTGAGCTAACGACCTCGCGAGGCAGTTAACTCAGCCTGAAAACTATCCGCACACGATAGAAACTTGCCTCTCGAGGCGAATTCCTCACGAAAAACTATCCGCACACGAGAGTAACTTGCTGAGCTAACAGCCTCGCGAGGTCTTTACCTCAGCTACCAGCTCTCGTGTGAGGCGCGCTTAACTGAGAAAATAAACAAAATTATTATCGTAATAATCACGATACCCTTCAAGGACGGAACAAACTATACCCGACGAGTTTTTACCATAATTCGGCTATTTATCTCTTGAACGAAATTCCCGAAATTAGAACATACAAGTTAGAAGTTTTAGAAGTTAAAGTTGAGCCTTATTCTGATAATTACAAGACTATTAAGTCTAAGGTTAACGATATACCCTTTAGTGTTAGACAAAGAAAAGTGTAAAAGCTCATTTAAACGATGCGATATCTCGAAGCCACTATTGACTGTGACAAATCATGCAGCTTTGAATGATTAAAAATGAATTAAACTTACGAAAGATGAAGGATTTTTACCAATTTTTTCAACCGTGCAAGTTGATTTCAACGATGTCAATAATATTTTATGCTGAACAGCTGAAGACAACTCCTTTTTGCCACGTCTCAATGTTTATGTTTTGTTAATCGCATAATTTCATGGTAGACTTGATCTGTTTCCTTATATGGGTATAACTGCTTCGTTTTCACAATACCATTTTGCCATCCTGCTGTGAGAATTTCAAATATCTTCAGACATTTGCATTTTTTTGCTATTCCAAGTATCAAATTGATATTCCAAGTATTTTTGAATGCTTCATTTATTTTTGGGGAAATATTAAGATTTTTGAGGTCTCTGGTTTGTGAGTCTCATCTTTCATCCACAAAACACCTTCGTTCAATCAAATAAACTAGTTATGATTTAGTTCACTTCTGTTTTTGTCCACCCATTGTTGTCTATCTTGTTAACGTAGAATATTCCGGAAAATGATATATTCGACCAGGGTTGAGTATAAGGTCCATTATACTAAATATGGTATATTCGAACTTGATAAAGTCGAATATACCGGAATATGGTGTATTCGACCTGGTCCAAGTTGAATATACAAAATAAGGTATATTTACCCTTGTTAAGGTCCAATATACCAGACATCTGGTAACAGCAGGGACCGCGAAGCAGTTTTTGGATGGGGGGGGGGGGGCTAGCGAGCGCCAAAGATGTGAGCCTTTGGGGGACGGTCTGACCTAACGTTACTTGTTACGAATCATCTGAGATTTTGTTTCATTTACAATTGTTTAGTTCTGACTGAACTCATCGTCTATATTCTATCCTAGTTTTATAAATGTTCATTATTATTGTCTCTAATTCTAAACAATTCTCAAATGTTTTAAAGATTAGTTTCAATACCAAGTAATATATACGAATATTCAGTCTTTATCTACAATATTTACAAATACACGCGGCTACATCATTTATATGATATAATTATCACAATATCATTTTTATTAAAACATCTTTAATCATCCAGTTTCATAAAAGATCAGTGGTGGTCAGCGGCGCTCAGAGACTTGAAAACAAAATTCATGTAATCATTCACTCATTGTTCATTTATAACTTCGTGTTCATCTCAATCTTGGACAAAATGACAAACTCTTTTACTTCAAATTTTTCATCAAATTCTCCTGCAAATTCACAAATATTTATTAAGTATTCAAGTGTTCAATCAACTTTATGTTGTGATTCAACATTTGAATATTTTGATATTCATATTATATTCTTCCAGTCTCATCGTCATGTTATGATTTAAATTAAAATTTCTATCGACGCAGAATGAAATGCGCTCAAAACACATCCTAACCTCCTTTATTAAATAACTGAAATAATTCTTTGATACTTTACCTAGAGAGGTTTAACTACAGCAATAGCATTGCGTCTTTTTTCTATCATTCCTGGCAGTTCTTTCCAGCCATCTCCACCAATGGTGAAAGATTCCACTGAGTTGAGAAATCCCTGCTCCTCATTCCATCCACCAAACACGACAATGACGTCATTCATGATCGCGACACAGCTGCCCTTCCTTTTGTAAATCATGGAGGGCAGTCTCTCGCTTTGCCCAGTCTCTGTGTCGTACATTATGACGTCATTTAATGCCTGGTTATTCTTATCCACACCACCAACGACGATGATCATATGACCCCAAGTGACTGTGGACATGCCAAAAACAGGCTGAGGTAACGATGGACATGGCTTGAACTTATTCTTAGTCAAATCATAAACAACAACGCTGTCAAGAGCTTTATTATCGATGGTTGTTGTTCCGCCCAAGATAAATAGTTTTCCATTAACAAGTTCTGCTTTGTGAAATGTTCTTGGCTCGGGCATTCTCTTCAGCCGCTTGGCAGTATAAGGTGGGGTAGGAGCAATCTCATAAATGGCGTTCGATGTTTTCTTTCTTTTCCGTCACATCCTCCTAATATATATAATTTTCCTTGATAAACTATGACGTCGTGAGCATATAATTTGACAGGCAGTTTACCGTCAAACATTGTCCATCGCAAAGGATGTTGGTTCATCTTCAAAACTTCGATCGTGTCAGTTCCTTCTTTACCATCGAAACCACCAACGACAAAAACGTCATTGTTGTAAACACACGATGCTGATGCTGTTCGAGGATGATTCAATCGTGGCAGCAGAGTTGACTTTCCTTCTACTATGTTGTAATTCTCGACTGTATTTAATACCTTGTCTTCTCCAAGGCCATACCGACCACCAATAATAATAATATCTTGATTATTGACTGGACCTGCGCGATTCATAGCGCTAGCACCATTCTGTTTGTATTATTTCCTTGAAATGTTTGGTTCATCATCATCATTATTCTCTCAAACTGTTCTTTCATCTCGTGCATACTTTGCTAAATTAAAAATAAATTTTCTTTAATCACGCGAATCAGCCGATAATGCATTCATATCACCAAAGCTTTAATCACCGCCAGTAAGCAGGTCCCATGTAAGTATTAGAGACTTCTGAAGTTATAGTTATATAATTCATTTTATTTCAAAGCTATGAATGACTAAAAGACCTCTCTTACCTTCATCTCTTCCTGATTTCTCTTCATTTCATTCTGACTTGTTTTCATTTCATTCTGATTTGTTTCATTTCATCCTGTTTTCTCTTCATCTCATCCTGTATACTTCCAATCGCAGTCATTTGAACACTCGTTCAACCTGACTTGCCTTAAAATTCATCCACATTTATCTAAATCAAATTATTAATGTTTTCAGTCAAGCATGTGCCATTAAAATTTTGAACAACAATTCAATCCATTCTAATTTAAAGCAAATATCAACTGAATAGTTAGTCTTACCTTTTTTCATCCTGTTTTCTCTTCATTTCCTCCAGTTTTGTTTCTATCGCAGTAATTCGAACGTTCGTTTCATTGACATTTTTCTAAGTCAAAGTGAAATTGTTATTGAGATGAATTGCGTACAACTCGACAAAATACGAAGTGTAAAAGATATTGAATAAATCCAACATTTTCATTTTTTTGCTTGATTCACCTTGATATTTTTACAGTCGTGACATTTAGCCAGTCTGAATTGACAGAAATTTTTCTCGTGAGTTTCAATATCTCTTCTATTTACCTCTATCACATCCTTCATTACGACACATGACAGGACCATATCCACATTCCTCGACATGTTTTGAAGATGTTCCAGACGAACGTAGTCAGGACATCCTCGTTCATGATGATCACACTTGATTTTCAGACCTTCCCAATAATTCTTCAGAAATCCTGTTGGTCGTCTCAAGGTTTCTTGAGTCAGAGGATCTCTGCAAACTGGACATGTTTGAGAGTTTTGAACGAGATGTCGTGATATATGAGCGAAACAAAATATATGATCTTTGTGTTGGCAAAGTCTGGATCCTTTGGAACTTCCTGACAAATGGAACAAAGCAGATCTTCGTTGACTTCTCCTTGAAAACGACCCACGTCATAACCTTGCAAATCATCTTCCCATCTCGCTGCCATAGTTCTGCTGGATTAGAAAAAAAGCATCTCAAAATAGTATTTCATGTTTTTAACCTTCTCAAGTCCAAAAAGGGAATAAACGACGTTTTTCAACTGGAGGATTTGAACAAAACTTTGTTCAGTTGAAGTTAAAAACGCTGGTAGTTTCAACTCGCGGACAATTCAGAATATTTGCGTTGAAGCGTTTCACAAATATAACAGAATTCAGTCCTTTCAATTAACCTCTGAACAGACTGATCTCTTCCTGTGAGGTAACCAGTCAAAGAATCTTTTGATGAAAATAAATAAAGGGAATATCTACGTTTGATTATTGTATTGTTTTGGTCGGATATAACCGGAACTCACATTCAAGAGGATAGCTAGAAATTCGAAGAATATTTTAACGAAATTAGCATAGAATTGAAAATGATTTCCTAATATCTGGCATAATATGTGCAAAAAACTTATCATCTTAGCGTCAAAAATCTACTCAACTATTCTATATTCACTGTGCAGCATTAACAATTATATATCAGAACCTCCTTAAGTTGATTATGAAAATATACCATGTCAGCCCATCCCTAACTGAGCATGCGCACTTTGTTCAAACACATTTTAGACCTAGAAAGTCTATCTTAAACGCATAAACAAAATCACAGCCTTCTTTGTATTTCAACACAAAATACGAGCCTATATTTAACGTAATATATTTGTGTATTCAAGACGATGATTGTCCATCAAATACTTCAGGTTAATCTCTTATTTATTATTATATTCAAATAAGCCTTGTTTATTGTAGTCATTGCGCGAAGTATTAACTCGCTAGAATCTTAGATTTCATGAAAATCACCATTTAAACATTCGTTTATTAAGACTGGATTCTCACGAGATCAGACGAACTCAGAACCGTCCGTCAATTCATTAATTTGGGTCCATTTCTTTCCTCGAGAAATCCTTTGTTAGCTCAGCTTCTGCTCGCATTCTGAACGCGATACTCGGAAGCGAATAATATCCAAACCTCAAACAAATGATACGCACCAATTTGCCTGTCAATGGCGCTGAGTTCGTGCGATCTCGCGTCTGAGAGTTGTCTAAGATTAGGAACAAATCTTGCAAGAAACTTACCAGTGATTTTCACAGCAACAATTCTCGAGTCTTGTTCGTTCTTTGTGTAACACAATCTGTGACGATGACTTTAATATTGCGAAATTATCATGTGAGGAAACTTAACTTGACCTTAAATCACCTCAATTTCCTGGGAAAACATCAACCAATTCTCAACTTATGCTGATATATTTAACAGAAATTGCAATGTTAAAAAAAGTTTTCCATTATTAAGAACATATAAACTCAAACTAGTAATTTTAGTAGTCATTTATTTACTAACTTAAATAAAAGCTTCAAAATATTGCATTTCTTGTGCACGGAAGTTTTAGCTTCAATATGTCATTCGTGGAAGTTTTATAAATTTCCAAGTAAAACTAATACTGAGAATTCAGGCCTAAAGAAATATGAAAGAATTTCATATAAATATTTCGGTGTCTGCTATAATCCAGTCCACATGTGAATACGTTGAACTTTCAAGTCTACAGTGAGAGTGTTTTACGCCGGGGAATTTTCTGCATCAGATTTTAATATCTGTGAAGAGTCGTGTTTAATGTGGAGATTTTCTCACAGAAAAAAGTGAACATGCTTGTTTCACTTTTATATCAAATTATCAATTTCATTATTTCTTGTCTTCTGCGCGTGTTTACCGAAAAAAATATCCCGAAATAAAACGAGATTCCTTAGCGCAATTCCTCAGGCAATACCATTTATCCCCAAACATTCCTCTTCATCATCCGTTGATCCCCAACCCATACCTTACCTTACCTCATTGGTAGCTTTTCAAAGCGCATTTTCTTAGAATGGAAATATTTGGCGATGTATATAACATTATACATGAAAAATTGATTTGATTTAATGAACTTCTACAATGATACGTTAACATTAGACTTAAAACTATTAACAAACCATGCAAATTGTCTTGGAATAAGAAGGGAAAATATCAGAATGAATATACTGTAGTTGTCTGATCTAACTTTACTTGTTACGAATCATCTGAGATTTTGTTTTATTTACAATTGTTTAGTTCTGACTGAACTCAGCGTCATATTCTATCCTAGTTTTATAAATGTTCATTATTATTGTCTTTAATTCTAAACAATTCTCAAATGTTTTAAAGATTAGTTTCAATATCAAGTAATATATACGAATATTCTGTCTTTATCTACAATATTTACAAATACACGCGACTACATCAGTTATATATGATATAGTTATCACAATATCATTTTTATTACAAAACATCTTTTCATCCAGTTTCATAAAAGATCAGTGGTGGTCAGCGGCGCTCAGAGACTTGAAAACCTAATTCATGTAATCATTCACTGATTGTTCATTTATAACTTCGTGTTCATCTCAATCTTGGACAAAATGACAAACTCTTTTACTTCAAATTTTTCAAATTCTCCTGCAAATTTCACAAATATTATTAAGTATTCAAGTGTTCAATCAACTTTATGTTGTGATTCAACATTTGAATATTTTGATATTCATATTATAATTCTTCCAGTCTCATCGTCATGTTATGATTTAAATGAAATTTCTATCGACGCAGAATGAAAGGCGTTCAAAACATATCCTAACCTCCTTTATTAAATAATTGAATTAATTTTTTTATACTTTACCTACAGCGGTTTAACTACAGCAGTAGCAGCGCGTCTTTTTTCTATCATTCCTGGCAGTTCTTTCCAGTTATCTCCACCAATGGTGAAAGATTCCACTGAGTTGAGAATTCCCTGCTCCTCATTCCATCCACCAACACGACAATGACGTCATTCATGATCACGACAGAGCTGTCGATCCTTTTGTGAATCATGGAGGGCAGTCTCTCGCTTCGCCAGTGTCTGTGTCGTACATCATGACGTCATTTAATACATATCATTATTATCCACACCACCAACGACGATGATCATATGACCCCAAGTGACTGTGGACATAGCACAAACAGGCTGAGGTAAAATGGACATGTTTTCATTTTATTCCTTTTCAAATCATAAAACAACAACGCTTCGAAGAGCATCTTTACGAAAGGCCGGTTGTTGTTCCGCCCAAGATAAATAGTTTTCCATTAACAAATTCTGCTCTGTGATGTCTTCTTGCCTGATGCATTCTCCCAGCAGCTTGGCAGTATAAGGTGGGGTAAGAGCGATCTCATAAATGGCATTCGATATTTTTCTTTCATTCCCGTCATATCCTCCTATTGTGAATAATTTTCCTTGATGAACTATGACGTCATGACCAGATAATTTGACAGGCAGTTTACCATAAAACATTGTCCATCGAAAGGATGTGGTTCATCTCAAAACTTCGATCGTGTCAGTTGCTCCTTTACCATCGTAACCACCAACGACAAAAGCGTCATTGTTGTAAACACACGATACTGATGCTGTTCGAGGATGATTCTCGTCAGCGGGTTGACTTTCCTTCTACTGTTGTATTTCTCGACTGTATTTAATACCTCGCCACTTCCTGAGCCATACCGACCACCAATAATATAACATCTTGATTGTTGACTGGACCTGTCTGATTCATAGCGCTAGCACCCATTCTTGTTTGTATTATTTCTTTGAAATGTTTGGTTCATCATCATCATTATTTTTCTCCAAACTGTTCTTTCATCTCGTTCTACTTGCTAAATTAAAACAAATTTTCTTTATTCACGCGAATCAGGCAATGATGCATTGATATCACCAAAGTTTAAATCACCGGCAGCAATCTTACCGCTAGAAATGTTTCTACGCCGAGTCAAGGCTTAAGTCCTGGGAGAGTAGTAAGCAGGTCTCGGGTAAGAAAAGTATTAGCCACTTCTGAAATTCATCATGAATTATCCGGATACAAGATTAAGAAATGAATGACTAAAAGACTTGTCCTACCTTCATCTCTTCTGATTTCTCTTCATCTCATCCTGTTGTTTCCAATCGCAGTCATTTGAACATTCATTTGAACCTGACTTGCTTTTTACATTCACACGTTTTTCTAAGTCAGATATTAATGATACCAATTTTTCAAAACTAATTCAAATCAAATTAAAACCTAATTTCATTGAATAAAATATAAATTAAATTAAAAACAAATAATAACTGAAAGATTTGTCCTACCTTCATCTCATCCTGATTTTTTTTCATTTCATCCTGATTACTCTTCATCTCATCCTGTTTACATCTAATCGCAGTCATTTGAACATTCGTTTGAACCTGACTTGCCTTCATTTCATCCACGTTTTCTAAGTGAGATTATTATGATACGTTTCAGATTTCATTTTTCAAGTACGATTTAATTTTTCCTAAATTGCTCCGAATTTAAAACAAAAAAAATAAGTGAAAGACTTGTCTTCTTTCATTTCATCCTGATTCTTTCTATCGCAGCCATTCGAACATTGTTTCATCCACTTTTCCTGAGTCAAAATAGATTGTTATTGAGATGAACTGCGTACAACTTGACAAAATATGAGTGTAAAAGACATTGAATAAATCCAAACATTTCATTTTTCATTTTAACTTA